GATAAGCGCAAGTAAGTACCATTTTGATTAGCCGTCGTACCTACAATGACTGTGCACTCTGTAAACAATGAGTGACATATACGCGCGAGAGATCACTTCCGGCTCTTGCGTAAACTCGTAAACTATGCCAGAGCACGTACACATCTCACGCACCGGAAGCCGTGCGCGTGCTCAAAGCAGTTGGACATAGCATTACCATTAAAAACAAATCTAATGCACTGCGTCCTCAGTGGCTCTGATATCAGGAGAAGATTCTTATGTTCTTCTACATCACAAAACTACAAAACACCTGCATTGCTTACAAGACATTGTCGCTACAGCTGCTGGAGCGTGGAGAAAATGATGTACTTCGTACAACTGCTGAAGGTGAAAATATGCTAATACTGGACAGTACATCAGCGGTTGTGGGCGGGGCCTGAACAATATGACATCCTACTGCTCAGAAAATCAAAACGGCTTGATAATTGAGACTGTTTAGGATTTTGGGGGATTAAAAAAAAGGAGTGAATGGATTTTTATCATTGTAGTGTGGTTGTGTCCACATACTGCTAAGATACATTTATATGCAAACATCATGTAAAAGTGAATTTTGCATCCTATGCCTACTTTAAAATTGAAATATAATCTTAATTCAAGTGATGAAGGATTTCAAAAGTGTGACAGTAATCAGTGTTGAGTATTACTGTAAGGTATACCCTGCCTGGTTTACATGTTTGAAAATGATAAACAGTTAAAAAAAAATAGAAATTTAGAAAAGTAATCAAAAAGTAATCAAATGTAATCAGTTACATTACTTTAAAAAATTTGCTGCTGACCTTTGATGATCCAGTTCAATCATACTAATAAGCAAAAATGACTTTAGAGAAACTAACATTTGTGCTTTGTTTTTTTTTTATTGCTGAAGAGGGTTTCTTCTCCTGCGTTCTACTGTACAGACGTGAATTTACTTTTGCTTCAGCCTGAGGTTTATTCATTACACTTTTTGGTGTGAAAGGGCTTTTATATTTGCTATAAATAGAACGTCTTATATTAAAAACAATAACAATAAAAACTGTTCATATTTAAAAAGTAACGCGAAAGTAACGCAAAAGTAATATAACGCGTTACTTTCCATAAAAAGTAACTAAGTAACGTAATTAGTTACTTTTTTAGGGAGTAACGCAATATTGTAATGCATTACTTTTAAGTAACTTTCCCCAACACTGTCTATATCTCCGGATTCACACATACTGTGTGAGATCGTGCGTTTTCGTTTAAATGCCCATATTACTCAAACAGATCCTAGGAGATCAGCCGAAATGAAACTACCTATTTTCCTGTTTGACACTGTAAAGCTGCTTTGACACAATCTGTATTGTATAAAGCTCTATATAAATAAAGGTGACTCACTCACTCATTGATGTGTGAATCCACTAAATTTCAGCAGTTGGCAATCAAGAAAGGGGCATAGTGTAAACAAGTGAGTTTGTAAGATTTTCAGTTCAAATCCTCACAAAACTATGTAGCTATATACAGTGCTTACATTTTTTTTTAGACCACCTGTCAAAAACTTGTTTAAAACTAAAGATTTTATTGTACTTAATGAGACAAAATACTGAAACAACTAAGTAGTCTTTATTCATACACAACCAAAAAACGTATAAGTATATTATTGTAAGTATATTATATTATGTGTATTTTATTTTTATTTTGTATGTCCTCCGTTGGCCTTGACTTGCATTCTTGCTGGCATTTTTTCTATGTACTTTTCCACAGTCTCTGTTGTTATTGACTTGCAAAGAGTTTCTAGTTGTTCCCAAAGACTTACTTTTGAACTTTTGTGCGATCTATCTTTGAATCTATTAAATCCCAACAATAATTATATTTTAGCATTAGAAACACTAATGTGACTAAAGAGCTTACACATACTGGTGTGGAATAACCATTAGAGAAACAAAAAATTATTTTGGTAATCACCAATACTGTTAATTTAGGGCAGCTGTGGCAAAAACCTTGCATTGGGTGATGGTCTAATCAATTTGATAAGCACTGTATATGTTATTACAAACTAGATCATGCACTCATTGTCGCATTTCGGAAAACACCCTTTTTACACGTTTCTTTTAAGGGAGTAAAATAACATTTAAAATGTGTTTTGTATAATAAACATAAGCTAAAGAAAAAAGAGCTGAGGACAACAATGACTCTAAAAAAATTATACACACTTTCTTTGTTGGCCATAGAGTCCGAAGTGATTAATTGGATTATTATTATACCTGTAACAGTTGACTTCACTAGTTATAAAATGTTTAAATTTGCTGCATACTTGTTCAGATGTATATCTCATCTCATGATGCCATAATATCACAAAGCTGCGGTAAATAATGTCAAATTAACGTCTAATGAACTCCGAGATTAGCCTCTGGATGAGTTCAGTGAATCAGGCCAACACATGATGGCAATATCATCAGCAAGAAGTAGCCAACATCACCTGATCAGAGTTTCTCTTGCATTTGTTGCTTTATGGAATGTGCTTCAAAAACACAGTTAAAGCAGCAAGAGAAAAACTAATGTTTAAGAAATCAAGGGGCAAGATCCCAGCCAAAGCAAATACTGATCTTTATCATGGTGAAATCACACGTTCCTACACTCTAAAAAATGCTGGGTTGTTTCAACCCAATGTTGGGTCAAATATGGACTAACCCAACTGTTGGGTTAAATTTTGGTTACTTTTTTAAATTAACTTTTTAAAGGCAGAGTGAGGGATTTCTGGTAGCCAATGTTTATATTTGAAATCACCAAAACAAACACGCCCCTACCCCAAACCTGTTTGACACTGTAAAGCTGCTTTGACACAATCTGTATTGTATAAAGCTCTATATAAATAAAGGTGACTCACTCACTCATTGATGTGTGAATCCACTAAATTTCAGCAGTTGGCAATCAAGAAAGGGGCATAGTGTAAACAAGTGAGTTTGTAAGATTTTCAGTTCAAATCCTCACAAAACTATGTAGCTATATACAGTGCTTACATTTTTTTTTAGACCACCTGTCAAAAACTTGTTTAAAACTAAAGATTTTATTGTACTTAATGAGACAAAATACTGAAACAACTAAGTAGTCTTTATTCATACACAACCAAAAAACGTATAAGTATATTATTGTAAGTATATTATATTATGTGTATTTTATTTTTATTTTGTATGTCCTCCGTTGGCCTTGACTTGCATTCTTGCTGGCATTTTTTCTATGTACTTTTCCACAGTCTCTGTTGTTATTGACTTGCAAAGAGTTTCTAGTTGTTCCCAAAGACTTACTTTTGAACTTTTGTGCGATCTATCTTTGAATCTATTAAATCCCAACAATAATTATATTTTAGCATTAGAAACACTAATGTGACTAAAGAGCTTACACATACTGGTGTGGAATAACCATTAGAGAAACAAAAAATTATTTTGGTAATCACCAATACTGTTAATTTAGGGCAGCTGTGGCAAAAACCTTGCATTGGGTGATGGTCTAATCAATTTGATAAGCACTGTATATGTTATTACAAACTAGATCATGCACTCATTGTCGCATTTCGGAAAACACCCTTTTTACACGTTTCTTTTAAGGGAGTAAAATAACATTTAAAATGTGTTTTGTATAATAAACATAAGCTAAAGAAAAAAGAGCTGAGGACAACAATGACTCTAAAAAAATTATACACACTTTCTTTGTTGGCCATAGAGTCCGAAGTGATTAATTGGATTATTATTATACCTGTAACAGTTGACTTCACTAGTTATAAAATGTTTAAATTTGCTGCATACTTGTTCAGATGTATATCTCATCTCATGATGCCATAATATCACAAAGCTGCGGTAAATAATGTCAAATTAACGTCTAATGAACTCCGAGATTAGCCTCTGGATGAGTTCAGTGAATCAGGCCAACACATGATGGCAATATCATCAGCAAGAAGTAGCCAACATCACCTGATCAGAGTTTCTCTTGCATTTGTTGCTTTATGGAATGTGCTTCAAAAACACAGTTAAAGCAGCAAGAGAAAAACTAATGTTTAAGAAATCAAGGGGCAAGATCCCAGCCAAAGCAAATACTGATCTTTATCATGGTGAAATCACACGTTCCTACACTCTAAAAAATGCTGGGTTGTTTCAACCCAATGTTGGGTCAAATATGGACTAACCCAACTGTTGGGTTAAATTTTGGTTACTTTTTTAAATTAACTTTTTAAAGGCAGAGTGAGGGATTTCTGGTAGCCAATGTTTATATTTGAAATCACCAAAACAAACACGCCCCTACCCCAAAAGGGTCTTGCCCCTATTTTGATAACTCCGCCCCACATATACGTACGCAATCCAGGCAACGATTAGTTCTGTGAAACAAAGCAAAACCAATGTTACACCGTGTCTACGGACGCGAGCGGCGCTTGCCTTATCGTTCCGCAGACGTTTTCCTCTTTTGTTTTTTATCCGCCATCTCTATCTTTCTGTCACTGGCTCGGCTAATGTCCGTCCCATGCACTGAACGCGCTCTCCTCCACATCACGAGTAGACACGCCCCTTATTGCTGATTGGCTACAAGTTTGTTTTGCGATTCGGCCCGAATCAGTTTTTAAAGTGTTTTTGAAAAATCACTCACTCTGCCTTTAACCCAACAGTTGGGTTAGTCCATATTTGACCCAACATTGGGTTGAAACAACCCAGCATTTTTTAGAGTGTATTTTCAATAAAACAGTAACATCTAAACCTCTGTTAATTCTCAACAAGAACTTTTCTATGAAATGTCAAACTGGTTAGTAATAAGTGAAGATGCTGAGATCTTGAGAGATCTGTTTAATGTTCTGTTGCAGCCAGACATTTGATATGGTGACCAGGAGGGGACATGTTCGGTTTACTTAGTTTTGTTGTGGCCACAACATATTAACTCGTGGGAATGTGATAATATGTCATGGCCACAAGATCATTTTGTCGTGGTAACGACCAGGGCCGGATTAACGCAGGCCTACCAGGCACGTGCCCAGGACACTAGACCAGAGGTAGGCCCAGCTGAAAAACCGCTCCTCTGGATCGCGATTTCCAGGGACTCTGAGGGTATTAATATTTTTTAATTTATTAACATTATTATTATTTTAATTCTAAATTTATTTATTTTTTATTTTTTTTTTAATTCTAAATATTTGTCACCTAGACAGCATTCGAATGAAGTAGGCCTATGTTGTTCTGAATAAATGTTAAAAGAATGTGTAACAACATCAAATAATAAAGGCCTTCAAGAAAATATTTTATCCATCCCAACCCACAGTCTCTTAAATCCATTTACTAAGCATTTATTTATTTATTTACTAATATAATAATTATTTTATTTTATTATATAACTGGTTAGGCCTGTGTATTTATTTATTGTTATTTTTATGCCCTTTAAATTCATGTATCTCTTTACCTAATTAACGTTCTGTATAATTATGTTTGTATTATTAATACGCCGTCATATATTTAGCAGCTGTTATTGCCTGACAATTATGCCAATAAAGTTTTGACTTTGGGATTCATTTTGCAATGAAACACTATAGTGTTTATAATTACAGTCTATCAATTAGCCGAAATAGAATGAAATATTATATGTTAAATTTAACCTTTTGCCAACTACAGGGCACTGAAAATACTATATCTTGTGCGTTTTGCCCTTACTCATCCAAACTTGTCAAGAAGGCTACTTCGAGTTCGAGTTAATGCGAGTTCCTTAGCAAGTAATTGTGAATTACAGTTGTTTTATATATGAGATGAGGACATGACTGCAGCCGGTATTTGTGTAGCTATTGGCTATTCTTTTAACATAGCCTGTTAATAATAACAAATTATTCGAACTTCATTTGAATGCTGTCAAGGGCACAAGGTAGCTTATCTATACATTTGTAAATGAAAACAGATATTAATTTATCGTAACATAGGCTACTGGCTACAGAAATGCATGTCATAAGGTCAAAACTTTATTGGTATGATCAGGCATTTACAGTATGTACAAAACATATTAAGTCATATTCAGAATGTTAATTAGGTAAAGAGATCTAAATGAAGGGAAAATAAAGCAAATACATAATGAATAAAAAATATGAAAATTAATCATTATAATAATATACAAATATTAAAGAGAAAAAAAGAAATGATCAGTTAAAGGATTTACATGACTGTGGGATGGATAAACATGTTTTTTATAGACCTATTATTATATGTTCTTACATATTCTTTTAACATTTATTCATAAACTTTATTCGAATTATGTCTAGGCAACATTGCGTGCAATGTAATATGTCGAGGTAACAGCATAATTTTTTGCTGCTAGTCATTTGACTAGTTCTTTTACTTTTAAACATGGTTCCATCTGCACCATCTTGTGGTGATTTCACAAATTATTATCGCCATAATTATTGTAATTTTACATACATTTCTATGTAATTTAAGAAAGCAGAAAAATACTCTATAAATAATAGTTTTTTCTGTATAAAAAAATGAGAATTACTGTATTGTGTTGTTAATGGCAAAATACTTAAAACAACAGCCGAGTTGTTAATTTTACAGATATCGTTAGTAATTAACAGTATCAAGAGTTTTGAGTACAATTTAAATGTGGAGGAAAACGAACTGACTGAAAAATTATAACGACTATTTTAAACAGCTATGCATCTTTCATTGACAAGTGTTTAACGCTGACTGTTTCAGCTCCATACTTCAGCCACAATGGTTTACACTTCTGTGTCAAACCTAAGCTTTGTCAGGCCTTGAAAAAAAAAAAAGTCCTGAATGTTGATTCAGTGATGTCTGTATAAACCCTGAATTTAACAGATGATGCTAAAGGTTTTTCTAGGATCAGCATTTACAATTCAATTGTACCAGTTTAAAATCTAATGACTTAATCTGTAGATTATCAGGCTGTATGGTGACAGAGGAAGGCTGCCGTTATCTGGCTTCAGCTCTGAGTTCAAATCCCTCACACCTGAGAGAGCTGGATCTGAGCTACAATTACCCAGGAGATTCAGGAGTGAAGCTGCTCTCTGAGAGACTTAAGGACCCCAACTGTAGACTGGAGATACTCAAGTACGTTGAAGTACTCTCATTCTGTTTGGTATTGTCATTACCGTTGTTCTTCCTCTTCCTCCTTTTGATAACTCAGACAGCTTTCATCAGATCATCATATTTGTCATGGCATCTTCAGAACATGGATACCACTGGTTTTCAAAATCTTTTAGATATAACATTGTTTCTTTGTAAGGCATCATTGAATTTCTCTAATAGGTAGAATTTAGGTCAGTATATATCTCATGCTGGGCACTCACTTCACGATTTTATCCCTAAATTTCAATCGCCAACAGTTTTGTGGGAATCACCGACAAATGCCTGAAATCGGAGGCAAATCAGTGCTTGTTCACGTATGTGACAATCGCATAGTGTGTGTTATCAAAGACGCAATCTGAGAGAAGCACCGATGCATCACAGATACCAGTGAGATATTGAGAAATTAGTTCTGCAGTGTGAAATGTGTTTTGACTGATAATTACATCGGCAATAACCTACAGCCAATGAGAGAAAACAATACAGGGCAGCGATTCTTCCTATTAAAAAGTTACAAATGTAATGTGTGACTCCCTGTCACCGTTCCATCATGTAGTGTGTACACAACAACAACTAGATGGTTCCCCAGACAGTCATGCAGTGTGAGAAGAGCAGCAATCTGATGACTTTGAAAGTCGTGCAGTGTGTGCCCGGCATCAGCAACAATTTGGCATATTGATACAAACTACGGTGGTATTAGGGTGCATGGACAGTTTGGAGCAGAGCTACCTGGTCCCGAAATTAGACTTTTGATGACAGACCTAAATTCATGAACCCGGTCTTTTTATTCCTTGGGTTATGTGGAATACAATAATACCAACTTTTACATGGTCAGTCATTTTGATTGTCTGCTAATTAGCATATTTCATCTAACCTACGTATTTTTAAAACTTTTCCTAGACCTTTTATTCGATCTTCATGAAATTAGACTAGATAGACTAGATATATGATGGTATTTGGTTGTATGTTGCGGTAATATGCATGGTATTGTTATCATGGATATAAAAAAAAAATTGGTAGAAAACATACAGTATTGAACATTTTATTTGTGTGTAACGAATCAGCTCATGGGAAATATGAATAATTAATCATAACAAGTATGTGTATTTTGTATACCATTTACAACTGCTTTTATCACTTAATTAGAAGCACCACAATTATTAAATTGTGTCGTCTGTTATAGGGACTATTGAACTGACATTTAGAAGTTTATTTTAAAATGCAAAGTATTTTGAAATTCAAAATAAAGCTCAGTAAACAGTTGCATTTTTATAACACTACAAGTGTGTCAAATCAGGTAATTAAATGTTCTAGACAGCTGTATCTTGGCAACACTTTACCATTTTAAAATGAAACTTAATATGTGACCTCAGGTCTCCCTAATGGTAGCATAGGTGTTTGCAGTTCATCTCTCATGCTTGTTTGAACACATGTTTTTGACAGATGGGCTTGCTTATACTGTACTGTAGGTGCTTAACAGTTCAATTACCTTTATTTTTTCCACATAATAATATAAGATAAATAATTAAAAGGTATATTCTGAGATATATGTAATTTTGTCATGACAAAATATAATGTTTATTTTGTAGATTAATACATAAAAAGTTATGAATGTTAACAGGATTAATTAAAATACCTATTATAAATATAAAAAACTGGCTTGCTAACTAATGTGGTTTACTAATGTGAACTCGTAGAACCATATTGTAAGGCATTACCAAAAATCCTATAGATTTTGTATTTTTCAGTGATGTTAAGAAAAAACACCCATTCTTAGGTAGAATGAGATCCAGTGGAATGTGTGGGTCATAAGAGTAATAACAAATGTCCTCTTTCTCTGACACTTTTTTTTAAGAAATCAAATGTTTACTATCCCTGATATGTACATATATTTGTCTTGTTTAGTTTGGATCATGGAGGACATTTGAGGATCATACCAAGACTGGCAAAATGTAAGACTAAATCATTCTTTACACAATCTAATATGCTGTACATTTAACTTAATACAACTATCCTTAATACAATTCTAATCTCTCATCAAACCTGCCCTTCAGATGTATGCAACTTTACACTGGATCCAAACACAGCACACAATCGTCTCTCTCTGACTGAGGGAAACAAAAAGGTAACAGATGTGAAAAAGGGACAGTCATATCCTGATCATCCAGAGAGATTTGAGAACTACGAGCAGGTTTTGTGTAGAGAGAGTCTGACTGGACGCTGTTACTGGGAGGCTGAATGGAGCGGGTGGACGTATATTGCAGTAACATATAAAGGAATCAGCAGGAAAGGAGGGGGTGAATGCAGATTTGGACGCAATGAAAAGTCATGGAGTCTTTTTTGTACTCTCGATAGATTCAGTGCTTGGCACAATAATAACAGCACAGATGTATCTGTCCCTTCACGCCTGTCTCAGAGAGTAGGAGTGTATCTGGACTGGCCGGCTGGCACGCTGTCCTTCTACAGTGTCTCTGGCACACACACACTCACACACTTACACACATTCAAGACCACATTTACTGAACCGGTCTATGCTGGATTTGCAGTTTTTGACTCCTCTATATCCCTATTTCATATTTAAAAGCCTTCAGGAGCATTATGACTAATCCAAAACTTTCTCTGCTGAGAAAGAAGCATAATAATTCCCTCTAGCAGTCACAGAGTATGTTTGCTCTAATAGACTGTTTTCTTGAAACAGTGATGGATCCAGGGCCGGATTTACGCATAGGCATTCTAGGCACGTGCCTATGCCCGCTCGTCCAGGGGGGGGGCCCCAAACACAATGAAGAGATATAATATTTTGTTATACTATGGGCTATCTACAACAATAAAAGAACCAAAACCTCAGAAGACATTGAGCAAATAAATAAAACAAACAATAGGGTAAAATATGACAAACTCTTTCCATGTCTTCAACCTTTTTTATGTACGGAAATCGCGCTTTCTCCGGTTCTCTCTCACAGACGCGCGCACACGCTGACAGAAACTTTTCGTCAATGCCGCCCCGCGAATTTATCAATAAAATAGTTTCGCAGCTAAAAGCTACATGACATTTCTCAGTAGGGAGGTTCTTGAAGCAGTTTAACTTAAAGATTCGCTATTAATATACGCTGCTGCTAAACACTGCTGAGAGACGCACAGACGCTCTCTCTCTCTCTCTCTCTCTCTCTAATAACTGCATTAGACTGCATTAATAACTGCATTAATAACTGCATTAGCCTGCATATCATTGGCTCAAGCCTCTGTTATTAGCTCTAAAATGACATTTTGGAATTTGGTTTGGGATGAGGTGCTTAAAAAATAGTTCAACACATTTCAGGATGGAAACATGTAAAATATCTTGAAACAAATCATCTGAACAATGTCTTGATGTGAGGTTGTGACTCCTGGCCGTTAAAATTATTACATTCATTATAATAGAGATTACTGTAACTATATAGAGTTACATTCGATTTTTATTGACTGAACGCAAGCGCTTATTGCGATAGTAAACACTGTAACGTTTCTGTAACTGATTAAGAAATATTTTTGTTTGCTTGGGTGGTAATATTAGGCCTATTATATTAATAGGGAAGGGGGGCCCAAAAATTTGTTTTGCCTATGTCACGAAAAGAGGTAAATCCGGCCCTGGATGGATCTTACACACAAATGAATATTCTCATTGTAACGAAACAATCTTGACACAAATGTTCAGTAACACTTTATTTTAAGGACCAATTCTCACTGTTAATGATTTGCTTATTAGCATGCATATTATTAGCATAATGGCTGTTTATTAGTACTTAAAAAGCACATATTAATGCCCTATTCTAAATGATCATATTCTAGATCCTTTTAATCCTGCCCCATACCTAAATTTAACAACTACCTTGCTAACTATTATTAACCCTTTAACTGATATCTCTACCGTACGGTTGAGCTTAATTTGATAGGGAATAAATCTATCAAAAGGAAGAGAAAAGTAGGGATGAAACCATAATGTTGTTGTGAATAGCGTAGCGATAGGGTAGAGGGTAAAGAACAGAAATATAGCAAAATATATGAGAAATGCAAAAATGTTTATTTACCATAATTATCAAAAATCATGCGTGACCGGTCGGTTGATATGTCTGTAAAGGACATCATATATATTGCCATACGTTTATATATATTATAGAGACGCTTAAATATAATTTTTTTTTTTTATCTTTGTGGACCCTGAAGGTTATGAAATGTATCCAAGATACTAATAAAGTTAAAGGAATGTTTATTGTTGGAATATAACTAATAGAAATCTGAACTTAAATCAAGATTTACCATGGACTGACAGCTCAACCATACGGTAGAGTTTTATATAAAACATCAATTTAAAAAAAAGTGCTTGGGGCTATTTATTAGATGTCTACTTATAAGAATTTTAAGTTAAATAATTTTTTCATTAGCTCCTTTTAGGGGTGAAAGTTAAAGGGATAAGCAGCGATTCAGCAAATTTAGAGTTTGAGGCAAAAGTCGTAGTTAATAGTTTATTTAGAGTTAGAATTGGTCCACAAACTAAATTGTGAACAAATTTTCAAATGACTACTAATAGGCACCACTCATGAGAAAAGACCACAGTCTTTCTTGATCTTAGCTACTAGTTCATGTATCACTTGAGCCAGATTGCTGACTGCTGTCTTGGAAAAGTCTAGAATGTAAGAACAACATTAAGTCCTGATTACTTTACCTGCTCATCCCTCTGAGACCAAAAATTTGATCAAGAAGTATTCAAGATCAAGTAGTGTAGTTTTAATCTGGAGGTAAACTGAACAGCAAGAAACCCCCTTGATTTTTTTATTTTAAATGTTTGAGCACTTGAGTTGTTTATTGATTGTCCTTTTGTTTTGACTTTATAACATGTAAAATAAGCACGGCAAACAAACAAAGCCATTCAGTTTCTGTTCTCATTTTATGGCAATGATCCATACAGTAATGTTTCAAATTTATTGATTAACAAATATAATAAATGTGACAAACTGTTGTTTTCTGTTCTCATTATTGATTGTACTGTGTTTAGGGACAAAGTACATTAACATATTCTTTTATTTTGTGTAATTTGACACCTTTATCTTATTTTTATTATTCTCAGGTTAGGTAAGTTGACCTAATTTATTGGACAGAAGACTTCTCCGGGGTCTGTTCTGGGTTAGTGTTATAAATGGGTATTTAAAAGATAAATTAGTGACCTGCCCAAACTGGGAATGCTCCTTTAAAAAAGGCCTGTTATAATGTGTTCTCCTCTGCATTTGATGAGTTCCTCTCCTCTTGCTCCTTCAGAGCTTCTCAAGGTCTTCATAACATTCTACAAGGAACTGAACTTTTAGATTTTTAACCTTTCCTCAATTTTCTATTATTTAGATTTTCATGAGGTCATCCTCATTAACTAACTTCTCAAATTGTGATCACAATAAAATTAACCTTCAGGCAATTTATCTTGTTCCACTGCCAGAAATATTGGCTAACAATTACAAAACAAAACCCCAAAGTTTCCCAGCCAACACCATTATTTGTACCATGCATTTACTAAAAGGTTAAAGATAAACACAATTACCTATAAATGTGTTTTAAAATAATACTAAAATGATCTTTTGCACCTAGTAGTCAAGTACACCGACTTCATGCAACTTATCATTACATTTGTACTGCATGCTCATCACACCTGCATTTAACATTCCTATGGAAGCTTGTTTCAGCCACAGAAGAAAAAAAAAAGTGATATAAAAGATATAAAACTTTATATCTTACAATTCTGACTTTTTTTGCCCAATTCAAAATCTCAAAATCTGGACTTTGTTCTTCGCAATTATGGGAAAAATTCACAATTGCGAGATACAAACTCAGAATTCTGTTTTTTTTTTTTCTTGCAAATCTGACTTTTTTTCCTCGCAATTGCAAGTTATATCTCACAATTATTTTTTTTTCTCAGAATTACAAGAAAAATAAAATCAGAATTGTGAGATAAAAAGTTTAAATTACTGTTTTGATATTTTTATTCCGTGACGGAAATGAGCATCCATGCATTCCTGTCCTTACTGATGCAGAAATAAAATGGATTAACAAAAATTCACATTGACTTTAAAATACCCACATCAAAATTCTCAGGCTTGTTCTCACACAAAGACATCAGATGTTTTTATGTTATAATCATTTTCCTAACATATTTCTGTTGATATTGCAAAGCAAGTGTGATACATTTGCTTATTACAACCCTCACAATCATTTTACTACGAAAAGATAACTAAACTCTTATTTCCAAGATGCTCTCTCTCTCTCTCTCTGCTCAAGCTTGACAGTAGGTTACTGTGGATGTGTTGATGTCAGGCCTACAGGTCGATGTTAGTTGCCCGGCGCAGACAGAGCACAGCTTCAGTCGGTATGTCTTGGGCTCTAATTTCATTGGCCTCCAGACGCAGTACACGTAGATTAGAGTAATTGTTTGTATCCACAACTCTGCAGAAACTGCTCACTGAAAATTCTGGAAAATGTAGGGAAAACGTTAAGTTACTGTCTTATCCAAGCAGGCTCAAGCAGAGCCTATGTACATTAGAATAACTATGCCTAATCTTACAAAAAATGTCAAATTGGCAACATTGAGCAGTACATCAATGGGAACGCAATATGCTTTCATGGAATGCGTGAAACAAATTATTCTTTTTGAAGACCATTTGTGATATTTTTCAAACCTTGTTTGTAGGTGTTTCTTTAACTAGGGACATTCTTTACATTTTTTCAACTAGGGTCCTGCAGTGTTTTAGAACTGAAAAACTTTTGGTCACTTTACATTGCGTCTTCAACTACTATCTACTAATTGTTTAGTATAATGTACGTATTGTATTCATGATGTATTGCAAAACAGTTTTGCTGTTTGTTTTAGGGTCAACACTATAATTATATTACATGTAATAATTGCATGCAGGTATTTTTGTAACTATAAGTACAAAAAAAAATTATGTACACAATATGTGCATTGTATCAAATAATTAATTTAAATGTTGTTAAGTGAAGACACTTAATATAAAACCTTTAACACTCTCACTAGTTTGTCTAATTTGTCTATGATCTATATCTATAATTCTGTCTATATCTGTCCTCGTATCTATAATTATCTTTCAGTGGAGATATACATCACAGGAGAAAGATTAAAATTCTGGGCCAAGAGTAAAACAATAATATCCATACATAAAATGCATTTTAATATTAGCAAAAACAAATGATAAATGTGTTACTTTAATAAACATCAACCTGGTGACATAAAGATGTCCAGAGTTGAAGAAACACCCTTGTATGCAGATATATATATTTTTTATTTAATGGAGACGTTTACATGTACTATTTCACTATTTCTCCTTTTTATATGGAAATAATTATATCAACTCTACATACAACTCTGTTTACATACAATATTTGTTGTTGAGAGCAATGTATATTTGTAATAAGTGGCTGTTTTGAAGCATGCCATTAGGACAGGCATATTTTTTAGGAGAAGATTTGCATATAAGCCTTTGACATGCCTTGTGGGCGTATGTGTACTGTGTGTGTGTGTTTTTTTTCTGTACCTTTGATCTT